TAAAGGCCAGGTCACCAGATCTGCAGATGATACCTGCTGGGAGGAGCAGACCACAGCTGCTGGGGCTTGGCTCTCCAAAAGGGACTCTCTGCTCTAAACGTCCTGGCTGTGGGACTTTTCTTCCTCAGGTTTTGATCTCTGAAGGGGCCACCTCCCTTTATGCCTAAGCTTCAGGCAGCTGCATCTGACTTCTGTTTAATCAGCTGTCCCCAAAACCCCAACTCCCAGATGCCTCTTTGGGGCTAAGGCCCAAGGGACTGTGGCCAGAACCTCCAAGTCCCATTGAGAGCACATGTGGCTTCATGGGCAGGGCTCAGCCTGATCTAGTCCAGACCTTTGTGGCTGGGGTCCGGTCAGCCTGGCTCAGGCTGGACTCTTGGGACATCACCAAGGGATCTCTCCTGCTGCCTTCTTGGATTGACTGTGGGTTTGGTCTGGGGTCTGAAGCTTTGCTCCTAGCCCAGCCCAGGACAACCCAGTCACCAGGTTGGCAGGTCTTCCTTCCTTTCCAGTGCTGGAATCAAACCAACCCAGGGACTTGTACATGCTAGACAAGTGTTCTGCCACTGAGCTACACTCCCAGCCCCAAAATTCAACTTTTCTATTTTGGTGGTGGTCCTGGGGAACAAACCCACGGACCTGCATATCTGGGGCAAGTACTCTACCACTGAGCTACACTCCTATCCCCTATGAGGCCACCCCTTCCTCTTAGCACCCTGGAGGTTCCTAAATCTTTACAGTCTCCAAGCCCTGTCCTGGCCCTGTCTGACCCTGTCCTGGTATTCCTGACTTCTCCCGGAGCACCTGGTCAACAGGTGGAGTGTTGCAGGTTTACTTCCTGGAAGCTAAAAGCCTGAGTTTGAGGCTCAACTCTACCCCTTCCCAGCTGTGTGTCTGTGGTGAGTGTCTTACCCTCCCTGAGCCTCAGATGAGAGTCAGAGCACCTAATCTCATAGAGTCATCATTTGGAAGGAGGTGATTAAATCTGTGTCATTGTGTGTGCAAGGCCTGCACAAGGCTCATCACTGAGTGGCAGCCACTATTATCATGGTATTCCTTTCTGCACAGTGGCTCAGAGAAGCAGAGACTTGCCCAAGTACACACAGCTTGGAAATAGCAGATGGGGGGACTAAAAGCCACATTTTTAGGCTAAAGAAGGGCCATTTATCAAGTATCTGCAAGCTGTACCACAGATCAAGGAACTGTTGATCCATGGGGTGGGGAGAAGCCCAGAGAATTGAGCCCAGGGAAGGACCAGAGAAGAGGAAATTGGGGCTCGAGCTGAATGAATCTGTGTTCTTGGTCTTGCAGGCACAGTAAACCCTGGGAAGCTTATAGAATCTGCAGATGCTTGGGCTCTGTGCTGGCCTGGAATGAGAATCTTGGAGGCTGGTGGGCTTGGATCCTTTTACAAGCTCCTTCCATGAGTCTAAGAGGGACCACATTGAGAAATACTAAACGGGTCTCAGAGGCAAGAGGGTGGTCCAGAAACTGAGAGCCATAGATGCCGAAACTGGAGGGAGCGCGAGGGAGAGGGGCGTCTGTCACGGTGTCACTGAGGCTTTCATTGTATTGAGGGGAAACTGAGGCCTGAGGGGCTCAGTGGTCAAGGTCACATGGAGGGCCAGCGGTGGAGCCAGCCCCTGAGCCGCAGACAGCCCTTCCCTGCCTCTGAGCTAAGTGCGGAGGGAGCCCCGCCTGGGCTGCTTGACCGCTGGCAGGCTGAATGTGTGAGTTTTTCAAATGGCTTTGACTTCTGAGTCCATTAGTGATTAATTCAGAGTTCCATTTGGAGCAGGCTGATCCATATTTGGAGGAGAAGAACATTTTGTGGCAGCTGAGATGCAGCCGCGATTCATCCGTGGGCAGCCAGCCCATGTGGCAGCCTGGGAAGGCCTGAAGGGGCTCAGGGCCCTCTCTCCAGTCCTCCCATCCCAGGAGCCTCTCCACTCACCTGGGGAGAGAGGGTGGATCCTTTGGAGGTGAACAGAGCAGCTGGAGGGCCCAGCTCCCCTCTGTATCTTCCCAGTTGTATGACCTTGGGCTGTACATCCTCTGTGCATCCTCAGTTTACCCACCCCATGTTTAACCTGTACACTGCTCCCACATGGGTCTTTTGGGAGATTCAATGAGGCGGTGTGTTCGAGGGTGCCTAGCACATTAAGCACGGTGGGCCATGGCAGTGGGCCCCTTCTCTTTCCTTCAGTGGTCCATCCCATGTCCCCTTCTCTGGGCTCCTGGGAAGAAAACATTTTGGAGTAGCAGCCCTGGCCTTTCCACCATATGACCTTAGGCAAATGATTTTACCTCCTTGGCCTTCTGTTTCCTCATCTGTAAAGGAAATAATCGTCCCTGCCTTGCAAGATTGACATGCAAAATGAGAAACCTCCATGAGGGTTGGCAGTGCTGTGGGCACCCCAAGCTGCACCCCATGCTGGGGAGTGTGGGAGCCGTCGCTCTGAGTACAGTTGGAACATGCAGGGTCACAGGGGGGAGTTTATTTTTAATTAGTAAAACTTACTGAAAGTTGGCCTGCTTTTTATGATCACCCCACACTGGCAATTCTAACAATATCAGCAGCAAAATACTCCTTTTGACAGAAGCCCACCTCTCCCACTGCCCCTGTCCCTTAGCGGCCACTAGGGTCCCAGCAGTGATGGCTGTCCTTCCCTCCTTGTTGACCTGGCCACCCACCTCTTGTTCCAACTCATTTGAGGAGAGTGTCTCTCAGCCTGACACCCTGCTTTTCAGCTGCCTCCCAAACTTGGGCAGAGCCTCTGGTCACGGCTCAGGGTCCCTTGCAAGGTCAGCAGGAGCAGGATGCTCTCCACAGATACTCACAGCCCTGGCCCAGCTCCACTTGTCAGGCCCTCCCCAGAGTCAGCCCAAAGCCCTTGAAGGAGACTGCCTCACCACTGCAGTCAAGCTTGGAACATCTGTCTGCCCAGAGAGTTCCCAAAACTCACCTCTGGTCACACAGCCGGTGGGAGAGGATCCGAATGGGTCTGCCTGCCTCGTCTGTCAGGACCCCAGCAGGAGCAGGTGGCACCTGGCTGGAGGTTTCGAGGATGATTTAAGGTGCCTTTTGGGGGTGGAGTTGACATCCAGACACTAGCCATCACCACCCCTGGGCCTGAGGCACCCAGCCGAGGACTTAGAGTAGTGGCAACTGGTCACTTGGTCCTTGGCAGAAGGAACATGGATACAGACAGAGTAGGGTTGAGGCTGGGAGGGAGGGGAGGATGAATCCTGACCTCTCTTTCCCACCTCCCAACCTCTGCTGGGGTTTCTCTTGGTCCAATGCCTGCTAGAAGCCAGGGGGTAAGGAAGTGGGGGGTGAGGGGGAGCAATTGGTACAGGATCTAGAGGATGCTTTTCTGTTCAGTAAGCTGTGACAGAGGAGTGGCTGGAGGAGGGCAGAGGTGGCTCCGTGTTCCCCTTCTGGTGGGTCCTGGGAAGGCTTCCTGCTCTCCCCCCTGAATCTCCATAAAATAACTCTCCAAATTCTTCACTTGGGCATGTGTCCTAAGTCCCACCGATCAAAGGTTCATTTGAGTTTATAAACCGTGTGCCCCAGGAATGTCATGAGGGGGCTATCGGTCACTCGCTCCTGAGTGTGAATTCGTCTGCTCAGATTACTTGTCCCCCAGCACTCAGGTGAGATCAGAAATGTACCGGGAGAGGAGAGGAACAGGAAAGAAGTAGAGGAGAGAAGGGTAATTTTGAAGCACAAAGGGACCATAAGGGAGTCCAGAGACCAGGCCCAGCTTGGGCTAGACGGCTCCTATTATCACAGTCTAATTTGGGGTTCTGTGTGGCCAGAGGGCATGGGGACACCTGGAGAACAGGAAGAGAACACAGATGGGCAGCAGATGGCTCAGGGTCTCCTCTGAGGCCCCATGTACCGCAGGCCCCCTCAGGTGCCAGGTGCGAGGCTGACATTCCACATTCCTCTCCCATCAATCCCTATAAATGTGGGAGGGGAACTCCTTACCCCAATGAAGAGATGAGGAGACAGAGGCTCAGGTGGGTCCAGAAGCTTCCTCAAGCTCTCAGAGCTATAAAGTGGCAGAGTCAGGATTTGAACTTAGGTCAGTCTGGCTATAGAGAATGTGTTTTTAAGCAGCCTGTGGTTTCCCCGTCTACCACACACACAACCCTAGCCCTTCCTCTCATTCACATTGAATGTGCACCATAGCCCTCGAAAGAGGTGATTAATTGCCCCTTTTCCAGAAGATGAAGCTAAGGCTCAGAAGGGTTAAGTAAGTTGCCCCAGGTCACACAGTCCTACTGGGGCAGTGCAGGATCTGGTGTCCAGTCCTCCTGGGTCCAGGCTGCTACCCTTTTCTCTCTATAAGCTGCCTTGGTCACTGTTCCTACAGGCCCAAGGGCCTGCTTATAGATGAGGACTAATGGTCCAGGATGGGATGAGAGGGACAAAGGACCAGGGGTCATCCTCTCTTAGCCTAGGGCAGAGTTCCGCTTCACCCTCTGCCTGTCACTTACAAGCAAAGTCCCCTGGACTGGCCTGGGGCCTACATACAGAGAGGTGGGTGATAGGGACGATGTATGCTGTGGTCTGGTGCTTGCCACCCAGTGGGCTTGTGTGCTGTGTGGCTGACAGGTTCTACCCCTGGCCTGCCCATGCCCATCATATGCTGAGGATGGGGTGGGCGATGGCCAGAAGAAGGGGACCCTGGTGTCTTCATCTCTACCTGAGGGACTAGATCAAGTCATAACAGAAGGCCCACCAGAACTAACAGCGCGGAGTGTGTCCCGGGTCGCAGAACACTACGGCTCACCTTCCCTCATGCTCTGCTCAGCTAACACCCCCAAAGACATGCTGGGCACATGGGTGGGCTCAGAGGTGTCTCTGGGATGGAAAGATCCATTGCTGCCCTTTCTATGTCACTTCTCCCAGAGAGCAAGGAGACAGGAGGGGGCCTGCTAATTGCCTTTTCTGCCCAATGGTCACATGCCTGTCACCTCTCTCTCTCCAGTATCCATGACACCTTCTTGAAGCTCTGCCCTGCAGGCAAGTACTACAAAGAGGCCACACTGACCATGGACCAGGTCAGCTCCCTGCCGGCCCTGAGGGTGAGTCCAGGAGGGAGGTGGTGTCACAGGGACCTCTGAGGGACTGAAGTGGGCGGGGGGCAAGATGGCCCTTGATGCTAGGGTCAGCTGGCAGCATTGCTTGAGGGGCTGTGGGATCTCCAGGCAGAGGGCCCAGCAGGATGTGGCTTCCAAACACGTCTCACCTGCACCTATGCTCCCCACCTCATCAGCCCTGGAGTGGGACCGGGGTGCTGACCTTGTCATGTCTCAGATGAGTCAGACAGAATGTGAGACCTGCCAAGTCCCACAGTTGGAAGGTGGTGGCCTCTGCTGGAGGCTCTGGCTGGCCCTGCTCACCAACCTCCAGGCCTGTCTGGGATTCCCTAAAAGCCTCAGCTCCCGCCCCACCCCTTGTGGTCTTGACCCCCGCACCAGCAATTTCCCTTGGCTATCCTTTGTGCCCCCAAGTGGGGTGAGTGGGCAGATCAGGATCTACGCAGGACTGTGAGGCCTTGGGCAGCCCAGGTGCCACCTCAGGCCCTCTGCCCAGCGCTGCCCAGCCCTTCTCCTTTTCTGCTCAGGCCACTGCAGTGGACTAGGGCTTTTCTGGAGGAATCAAGAATTTTCTCAGGTTCTTCCCTCAAAAGACAGGAGAGCAAAACTTGGAGCCAGGATTGACCTCCCCATCAGACTACTTCCCTCTCTAGGTGTGACTAGAGAAAAGGAGGACATTGGCATTTTTGCTCTTGCCACCCTCTGCTTCTCTCCCTCAACTTAGTCATCCTCCCTGAGCCAGAGGTTCCTATTAAAAAAAGGGGTGAGTCATACCCTCTTCTGACTTTCCCCACTTTTCCTGGGCTGAATCCTACGTTTCATACACCCAGGATGGACACACACACACACACACAGCCCTTGCTATGGGTGCATCCTAGGCAAAGCACTTCCCTGGGTCTTGGTTTCCTCACGTATAAAATGGTGGAGTGGTGGGGTGGCTGGGAGTCTCCAAGTGCTGCTAAGGCTCCTTGCACCCCGGCTGGCAGTGTTTGCAGGAGCTGCCAGCACTCGCCCCACCTCCCAATCCTTTAGGAACAATTTTTGGAGCCTTCGTCTCCATTACGAAGAGGCTCTACTCTTTCCCCAGGGCAGCCCAGTGGAGCCCCAGGGGGCACAGTAGAAGGACTCCCAAATCACTCCTGGGATTTAATTAAAACGTGTGCCTTGCGAGAAGCGATGGCAGGTTAACAAATCACAGCGCTCTCGGACTTCCCAATTTGTCATTCGGATCTTGGCAGAATAATGATTTGAGTTTGTCATTGTACAATGAGAGCCCATCTCCCTTTCTGTCTGGAACGACACAGGTTCTGATTGCTGAGGGTGCTGGGACCCAGGAGCAGTAGGCTGGCTCCTGAAAGAAGGACGCGGAGTGGGGACACACGTAGTCATTCAGCCAATGGCTACACTCAGGCTCCTAAGTGACAGGCCTGGCTCTAGGACAGAGACAGAGATAGAAGAACACAAAACTGGAGATTCAAATGGAGGTCGGAATGGAGAAGTTCAAAGAACTGAGAAAGAGGGGATAGCTGGGGGGTAGCTGGGAAAAGCTGGGGTGAAGTGAAACTTAGAATCCCCAGAAAAGCCAAACCACTGAAGAATGTGCGTACACCAGAAACGAAACAGGACGTGCATCTTTGGGGCACCCCATACTCAATTCCACAACCCCACTCCCACACACCTGTGCTCGACACCCATGTCTAGCACCATGAGTTAGACCTGGACTTCTGCTAGGACCTGGGGCTCAGGGCCACCAGAGAGGCAGGACTGGAGAGCAAGCATCTGCCCACCCGATGGGTCAGTGCCAGGCTCTGTTTCCACCAAGTCCACCCAGTCCAGCCACTGTCCACTGAACACAGGGTGCTCCCCACCCTAATTTTACCCATGGAAACCTGAGGCCCCAGAAGGATGACTCACCTGTGGCCACAGGAGGACAGACCCAAGGCCACCTCTGCTCATGGGGAAGCAGGCAGGACTCTGACCCGGGAGCCTCCACTTCTACTTGGGCCTTGGCGAAGCATTGACCTTGTGCCTTGGGGTCCCGGGAGAAAGACCTGTCCTGGGGGCTGACTCACTTCAGCAATAGTTTTGTCCCAGTGTGGCCCAGAGACTCTGTTCTGTGCCCCCAAAGGAGCGAGCCCTGGCCTAGGGTCAGGAGGGCTGGGTCTATGACGTTCCATGGACGTTACACTTCCTCGGCAAGTCCACCATGTGCTAAGCAGGAGACCTGCGGGGGCAGGACGAGCCTTGTCTTTACATCTCCTTCACGCTCCTCACCCACTCCTCCCTCAGGCCAGGGTCGGGAGCCCATGGAGGGTGGAGGACCGCAAGGCTGGAGAAGGGCAGATGGGGCAAGGTCGTCCCCACAGGGCTGGGCCCAGAGCCTTTTTCTGGAGCACCAGCCCCCCTCCCCAACTTTGTTCATTGGAGAGAAATTGAGAAGTTGGGTCCTGGGCTACAGGATTTTAACTTTACTTTTTAAATTTGAACCTCTAAGTGGACATTATTTTATTCTACTTTATAACGCTTGTTGTAGAAAAACTGGAAAACACAGCAAAGCAAAAAATGAGATAAAAGTCATCCATTAACTCACCTCAAGGGATGGTGGCCATGGCCATTTTGGCTTATTTCCTTCTGGACTTTTTTCTAAGCAGATATGCTGATAACGAGTGGGATTGAATGGCCTTTTTTTGTATGTTGCTTTCCCCCTCCCCCACTGTGGTTTATCTGTTGCTTTCGCAGATGGTCTGGAGCAGCCAGAGTTGTCTCATGAATTGAGGACCCCAAGCCACTGCCACATCTTGAGAACTGGGGGGCCAGGCATGGGCCAGGAGTGGAGAAACTGGGCTTGAATTCACTTGTTAGTCCAAGATGTTCCATAAGAGGAATGACTGGGGTACAGGGATCAAAGGAGCAAGCAGATGCCAGCCCAGGAAGACTGGGTGGGCAGGGTGGGTGTTACTGCAGGCTGCCCTTGGAGGAGGAGAGGCCTCCTCTAGGCCTCAGGCATTGGTCCAGGTCCCAGCATGGTGCAGGTTTCTCAGCTATGCAAGGGACACTTTGTAACCACCAGAGCTGTGCAGAGGGAGTGAGCTCCCTGTCACTGAAGAGAACCAAAGAAGGCCAGTCAGTCCCTTGGCAGGGAGGTTCAGGCACATACTTGTACCAAACGGAGATGGGACGAGATGCCTCAGGACCCTTCTCACCCTTGGAGTGTGTGGTTCTGCCTCTGGGGATTGGTCTTATTCTCTTTGTCATTTACCACAGTGTGTCCCTGACATTTTACTTTTAAAAAAAAAAAAGTTTATTTCGAGGAGGGACTAGAAATACCAACCTTCAATTTTGCCAAGGACACTAAAAAAAATAATATGTTATCCACCATCACCATTATTTCATTTTTAAAAAATATTCATTTTAAAACAAAAATGTAAGAAGCATCTCACCCCAGAAATAAGAACGACTCATTCCAAATGCATCTCTTTTTGTTTGTATTTTTCTCCCTTTGTCACCAATTGTTAACAGCTTCATCACTGACCTGGTCGCGGTCCCTAAGACTAGTTTAGGGCAACTTAAACCTACAACTAATGTTCCCCTCTGCATCTTTCTAATCCTGGACTAAGCAGAAAGCTTGCTTCCCCAAAGAAGCAAGAGAGGCTTGCTAGAAGGTGGGGGCCGGAGTGGGTGGGTGTCCTCTGCGTCCCAGGGACGGAGCTGTGTGACTCACATTGCCCAGAACCCTTCCTTGGAATAGGCATGGGGAACGGGGCCCCAGGGATCTCCAGGGACTGATATAACTTGGCTCAGGGGTTTGTGTGGTCTGGGAAGAAAGTTTTATTTTCTTAACTTGGGTTCCTCCGTGGAAAAAGTGGGCTTGTTAATGTCAGGAGGGTCTGTGGGTCCGTGGACAGCCAGGTGAGAGAAGGTCCTGGGTACAGAGGGTGGCGGGGACCACAACCTTTTCCACACAGTTTGGTGTTCTTTTTGTCTGCTGAATTTGACGTCTTTAAAAGTCAATTAGCGCAATGTTTCTGTTCCTGTAAATAATGATCTTGCTTTCTGTAAACACGATGAGTGTGGCATGGTGTGACTCAGGTTTCGAGTTTCCAGGCCCAGAGTGTCTTTGTGTCCACCGTGATGGCCAGTGCAGGCCTGAGGAAGCCCTCACGTTTAGAGCCGGTGAAGAGGAGGCTGCACACTGACCAGGCCAGTTCCTTCTCCTGCCCCTTCCAGCTCCCACCTCAGGTTCTGGCGAGCTGATGGTCTTGGCCCTGACCTACTAGTTATCCCAGGACCAACCCTGTCCAGGCACCGAGAGGTTAGGAAGCCTGCCCCAGGTGTAGGAAGAGGAGCCAGGTGTGGCTTCTAGGGCTTTAGCTCCACCTCTGTTTCTATTTCTCCCCTTTTCTGAGCCCTACTGAACTGGGGCCTGTCTGTCTAGAATAGCTGCAAAGAACTCACTCGAAAGACTGAAACACATCAGAAAGTCCTCATATTTATTCAGAACTCAAGAAATGGCCAAAACAGGGGCGTAGGAATGAGCGTATCTTTTTAAATTTAATTTTAATTTTTTGTTTCAGTTTTTAAATCAAAATTATTTATGCACGCTGGGAGTTGAGATGCCCTCTGAGGGTTGTTCCATATCCCCTTCCGTTAGGCAACCATTTCGGCTCTTACCTGATTCTCTTGGTGTTTACTCTATATCTCCAAAGGAAACAACCTTATGACTTTTTTTTTAAATTTCTGATAGTTCAGCCTTTGACTTTCCCCTAGAGAAGGTATTTAGCTCTATGCCCATCCTTCACATAGTTACCCATTCCCATAACCTCCCGCTGTTATATGATAATTTGGAGTACAGCAACATTCAGTATTGTATTTGTCAGCTTTTTGTTACTATAACAAAATTTAAATACTTGAGGAGGCTACTTATAGAGAAAAGAGTTCAGTGTTGGAGGCTGTAAGTCTAAATGGTATGGCATAGATTCTGGCAA